GTTTCAGTATAGAAATCTGATCTGTTCCAAAAGTAAGTAAAGCTGGAGGATATAAAGGTAGGATTCTTGTGTGGGAGTGCCTAATAATAATGATCACAAAGTTGCAAGTTTGTACTGAGTTAATTTGAGCTGATTTCATAGACCTACAAATCTTACTAACCTCCTACATTGATAAACTCTGTTTTTCACCTACATAATTATGAGTTACTATCTTCATGGTTTTCAGAGACAGGCTAAAATACTAATTGCTTTTGTACTAATTGTTTACCAAAAAAAAGTAACGCTCTGCTGTCTTATTTATTGTTGTCTTAGCATAATTTCTGCCCTATGTATGCCTTGTCCAGTTACCTGCCATCTGCCACTGTGGACCTCTGGACTGCTCTGATGCTGAATACCCTTAACTGTCCACACCCCACTTGATAGAGAACAAGGACTTTTTGTTACTTCCCCTAACTTCAACCTCTTTTAGCAGGAAGCAGTTTGGAGATGTCATTACCCATTTTTTTTCATAGCAATGGAACGCAGAAATTGACAGTTGGGAAGTGCAACAGTGGTCCACTTTATGCTTTGAATATAGCCCTTTCTGCTCTGCCACTGCAACTTATTTTTAAAATGGATATGTTTCTTTCTCTTTCTCTCTCCCTGCTCCTCTCTAATTTCCCTTCCCCCAATCTCAGGGAAAACAGGATTACCTTTTTTCCCCATTTTAGGCAGATTTATCTGTCCCTGAGTACACACCCACCATAGGAATGCAGTAATCTCGACTTTGGGGATGGTACCAGAACATCTCAGAAATTACTATATCTCAAATTAACAAGTGGATGACAATTCCAACAGAGAACACGTGGACTATCGCCTTTGATCACCTTTTTAAAAACCTCCTGTTCCTTCTGATGGACAGAATCACAGCCTCTGGGAAGGAGTCCCCTGTGTTTCTCCTTTCCTAGCAAGGCAATAAAACTTTTTTTCCTTTTTCTCAAAAACAAAAAAGAAAGAAATATGATCAGTTGTGCTACAGGTCAACACAGTGAAATAAATGTAAAGAAAGAAATAAGGAAATGTAAATAGTGGATTTTTTAAAAATTGGGTAGGTATAGAGCTTAAAAATTATCCATAATACCTGTTTTATTTTTGCTTGATATTCCAGTGATTGTTAAAGACTATACCTATAAACAAAACCTAGCTTGATTGTTTTACTACTAAATTCTGTCTCCCTTTACACTCTGGAGTCATATCCATGCCTTAGCATTACTTGTCTCTGGGAACCAAAGAACTTTAACAAATAACTAGTAATTAAGGTAGCAGCTTTGTACACAGATCATTCTGATTTTGAATTCTTTCTCTCCCACTTTTTTTTTTTCCTAATTAAAAAAAAATTTCTTTAAAAAAATTTTTTTTGAGACAAGATCTCGCTAATGTTGCCAGGCTGACGTCAAACTCCTGGATTCAAGCCATCCTCCTGCCTCAGCCTTCCCAGCAGCTGGGATTACAGGCATGCACTCCCACTGCCTGGCTTCCCACTTACTTTTGACCTTTGACAAGAAACTAATGTCTCGGAGCATTAACTCTCACCTATAAACTGGAGGTGATATAGTGTGTGTGTGGTGTGTATGTGAACTATATAGTTCATGGTACTCACTGTAAAAATATTAGCTTATTTCCTACATTCCTCCACCCCATTGCATAATTACCTTACATCAAAAAAATCAGTCAAAAGGATATGCAGGTAGATGTTCTCAAGTTCCATTGCCTTGTTTGTGAGGTGGGGTAGATTATGTGAGTTACCTTCTATTACTTTTTTCTCATTTCTAGTGAAATAAAGGGTATCATTTTCAGCTCAAACCAACAACTTTTCAGGAAGGATAACTCAGAAACAGCATCCTAATGAGGCAAAGCTTGATGATGACAACAGTATTTTCATTTTCTAGATGTTGTAGCTATAATGCTGTCCTTTACTCTTTTTTTGCCTTTTAAAGACTATTTTAATATTAATTAGGACAAAATCTAGCTATTAGGATGGGAACAAAAAGTCAAACCTCATAAGTAATTAGGTTTCAAATACAGATTTTTTTGTGTCTCATTTTAATATATTTCTGGGAATAAAAACTGTTTAAATTATTTCTATTAACTGAGTTGCCCTTCACTCAACTATTTCTGTAAAGAAATTCACATTCTGCCCAATTTTAAGAAAAGGACCCAAGATACTCAGAAAAGAACAAAGAAATTATGATCTTCTTCCCTAAAGTTGTGAATTTGTAGGCCATATTAGAGGATCAGCTGTCACAGACCACCAGAAGGGCACAGCGCCATGGGTAACAAGCTGGACCTGTGCAGATCCTCGTTCAGTGTAACATTCCTTGGCTGTGGGCTAGACCCTGGCTACTCTTACAGTCTGTGAGGTTTTGTTTTTATTTTTTTAGTTTTGGTTTTTAACCTGGACAGCACTTTCACTGTACTGCAGACTTTTCTCAGCATCTGTGTGAATGGGGGCTATTCAAGACTTCCCGTGGCCTTGTTTTTTATGAGCCTTGGTGCCCTGGCTCTGTGCTGCCCGGGACACTTGTTGAACATGCCTGAAGACCCCTCTGCTGGTCTTGCTCTCAATACACCAGGCCTGGAATCAAAAGACATTTCAAGAAGGTGTTCAAGAGAAATAAACTTAATTTTTTTTTCATGTACCTTGCCCATAAGGCACTTTTGGGGCGTGGGGTACCAGAGATTGAACTTAGGGACACTCTACCACTGAGCCACATCCTCAGCCCTATTTTGTGTCTTACTTAGAGACAGGGTCTGACTGAGTTGCTTAGCACCTTGCTGTTGCTGAGTCTGGCTTTAAACTTGAGATCCTCCTGCCTCAGCATCCTGAGCCTAAGGCACTTTTTAAAGCCCTAATTTTTAGTCATATTTCCTGTTTATTCTCTGAATTTTAATTCTGCTGTATTCTTTATCTCCACTTTGGGGTAATATGAACTCCAGTGATAGACATCTAAATTGAACCCCATGCTATACAGCTTTATACTTTCAGGCAGAATATATTATTAATCCATTAAACAAGAATGTATTGAATATCTTTGTATGCCAGGCACCATTTTAAGCACTGGAAATTCAACTGTAGTCAAGTAGACTTGCAGTAACATATTCTAGTCAAGACAAATCATCAAAATAAATTATATTCTATAAATATGTAGTATATCTGATGACAGTAACTGATAGGGAGAAAAAAAAAGTATCCCTGTGATCCTCAGTATCCTTACCAGAAAACTGGATGACAGTTACCTCAAACAATTATTGTTCAGTCAGATGAGAGGGCACACATAAAAACTGGAGACACTGTGCTGAATTAGAAATTCTACCTCAGGGAGCTTCCCAGACTCTCTTTAACTTGCCAGAACAGAGCAAATGTTTTTTGAGACTTACATTCCTAAGATAACCTGTATGTAATTTATTCCTGGTATATCCTCATTAAATAGGTGCCATCCTGTTCATTAAGTGCCATGTAAATGAAACTTTAAAAAATTGGATCATGTTTTTCTGTTGACACACATAATTTGAAAGATGCTTCTATTATAGTAATCCTTCTCTTTCATTGCCTCTGTTGGTGGCTATTTTAGACATCTATAAGGTCTTAATGTTAATTGGGTGGCAACATTTGTGATTATGAGAGCTAATGGGTTTGAACTTAGGCAGCCAATCATGGGATCTTTTCTCTGTTGGAAACTCTTTACATGGAAAAAGAACATAAGTTATCTGTTCTGTCACTCCTGTTCCTTGTAGTTCCCTTTGTCTTGGCCTCCTGTATCTTGAATTATGTTGACTTTGAAAAATAAATGAGATTTTCTTAAAAATTTTGTACTTCCGAACCACCATGTTGCAGTAATATGGTTTTATGTCTTATTTTTTCAGTAATGTTTTAAACACACTTTTCCTGCTAAAATCTGTTGTATTTGCTTTGCTGTTCCTCCCTCCCCCTAACATGCCCTTGAGGTATTATCTGTTTCTCTGTAAAGTATAACATCATTTTTCCCCCCAACTTGCTGAGTTTTGCTGGCTTCCATCTGCTATTGTGTGTTTTGCATTTGGCTTTAGTCTCTTAGTAATGTGTTATGTAAATGAAAATCGAATGACCTTCTACATTTTTGTCTTTTTCAATTTGTTCAAGTACAAATATTCTAGATTTTGTACAATTGAATCCCTTCATTAGCTAAGAGGACCAATACTTCAAGAGCTAAATACTCATTACTTACTTTGAAGCATTCTTTTTATAAAAACATAACTACTTACAAGAGTGAGTAAAACCATAGAAAATGATACAAAATTAGTCTGAGAGCTGTTTTGTTGCTTTTGAGTGACAGAGTCTATTGAAACTGAGACTGTGCATTCAGAAAAGCACTCAGTGCTTAGGAAACACTCATTCACATCAGGTTGATTTATTCTTTGCACAAACGGGCTGTGGTAGTGGGAAGTGTAATTCACAGCACATTAGCTCTTAAGTCAGTGTCACTGCTTGAGTGGTAGTGTGAGGCTTGCATGTCTGCGCAGTGTAATGATACCTGTATTCCAACACTCAATTTTTCTACCCCTTTGCCTCAATCCTAAATTGATTTTTTAAAAAGTGTGAACAAAAGGGGTCTGTGCATAAAAATCACTATATGTGATCATTTAAAGAGTTTTCAGTATAATAAATATATTATTTTTTTAAATGGCCTCATTTCTTTCCATTAATACTTTAAAAAAATCTTCAGTTATCATTTCAGTGGGGAAAATCTTTGCTGTTGTTATTTTCTGGTGGTACGTTCAATTCCAAGGTGGCTGGGCACATCTAACTGCAAATGTGATCAATTAGTATTAGTATATCATTTTAAATATTTTTTACTTCAATCATATTTTAGTAAACTACTAGTGATTAGCAACCATTCTGAAAAGCTCCTGTCTTGATTTCCCTGACTCAACAAACCTTATACCCTACCCCCATTCTATTTTCTCTTTTTTCCTTTTTCCAGGCACCTGTCGTCTTCTGCCACATGCCTATCAAATCTAATTGCAGCTTCGGGAGGACTTTGGTGAGGCAATTCCTTGGTCATGCTGTCCCTCAGGAATTTAATTCGAATGGGATGTGCATGTGGCCCTGGAGCCATGTCAATGCCTGCTATAGCTCCCAGATTCTAAAGGCTGGTCACCTCAGGCCTTAAAAGTTGTTTCAAGTCTAGGACAATTTAGTCTCAGGATAGATATGGCAGTAATAATGCAATTTGGGTCATTTTGTCGATGGAAATTAACCTTCAGTGTTCCTGCTAATTTTATATAAAAATCTATGACATACAGACTATTTTTAGTCTCTCTCAAACTATAGTGCTTTAAAACAATTTTCATAAGCGTTTATTTTTTTCTTTTACAACTAATATTACCGTCATCAAATTGCTAAGTGTGTGTGTGTTTTAAACATAACTTCTTTAACACTATTTTTAAAAATTTTTATCATTCTTAATTTTTTTAAAGTTGGAGATGGACAGGATGCCTTTATTTGTTTATTTTTATGTGGTGCTAAGGTTCAAACCCAGTGCCTCACACATGCTAGGCAAGTGCTCTGCTACTGAGCCCACTTCTTTAATACCATTTAAACTTTGGCCCTCTGACTAAATCTTAGAAAAATTAAAAGTGAAGTATGGGAACCAAAAACACACTCAACCTAGTGCTCTGGGGTTCATTAAATATGGGTTAATTTTTTTTCTTACAATGAGAAACACACCTTATCTACCTTTAAAAATTTTTGTTTTTAAAAATACAAAGCTTTTTCTCCATACTGAAAAAGAGATCAGTGAGTTGTATGCAGTTTGGAAAACAAATCACCCAGAAACTAAAAATCCACTAACACTCAGTACCACTTGATAATATTTTACTTTTTCCTATTGTGTTTCTTTTCATTTTTAAAGAACACATTTCAAACACATAGAAAAATGCATGAACTTTCTGTGTATTGAACATCTAAGAATGATACCCAGATGTAAAATGTTAACTTTCACCATATTTACTTCTAGTTTTTGACCTTGGGTTTCTTTGTTTATGCATGTGTGTGCATATTTTCAAACATAATCAAGATATTATTATGTATCTAGATTTATATTTTTTCTTTAACATTTTAAATGTTTGGCATATCCTGATTTTTATTTTATTTTGTTTTATTTTTGTGGTGCTGGAGATGGAACCCAGTTCTTCTTGCATGCTAGGTAGTCATTCTATCGCTGATCAATAAATTTGCAGTATTGCTTTGTTGTAACACAAAATTTGTGTTTTTATGGCAGCACAATTCACAATAGCCAAATTATGGAACCCCAACCCAGATACCCATCAATAGATGAATGGACCAAGAAAATGTGGTATATATACACAATAGAGTTTTACTCAGCCATAAAGAAGAATGAAACTGGCATTTACTGGTGAATGGATGGAAGTGGAGAACATCATGCTAAGTGAAATAAGCCAGACTCAGAAAATCAAGGATTGAATGTTTTCTTTCTTATGAGGAAGCTAGAACAAAATGAGGAGAGGGGAGGGGATATGATATCATAAAGATGTAGGGAAGACCAGTGGAGTAGAAGAAGGGGATTGAGAGGGGGAGAGGAGGGA